CCAGCTAATTTTTGTATTTTTAGTAGAGATGGGGTTTCACCATGTTGGCCAGGCTGGTCTCGAATCCCTAACCTCAAGTGATCCACCCACGTAGGCCTCCTAAAGTGCTGGGATTACAGGTATGAGCCACTGTGCCCAGCCAGAAAGTTTTATTAATTATTTGACAGATTTTTTTTTTTTTTTTTTTTGAGACGCAGTTTCACTCTGTTGCCCAGGCTGGAGTACAATGGCACGATCTCGATCCACCGCCTGGGTTCAAGCGATTCTCCTGCCTCAGCGTCCTGAGTAGCTGGGATTACAGGCATGCGCCACCACGCCTTGCTAATTTTTGTATTTTTAGTAGAGACAGGGTTTCACCATGTTGGCCAGACTGGTTGGTTTTGAACTCTTGACTTCAGGTGATCCACCTGCCTCAGCCTCCCAAAGTGCTGGGATTACAGGCATAAGCCACTGTGCCCGGCCTGTGTAATATCTGGGCTCTGTGTTCAGTATTTGAAAGATTTTTTAACAGGTTAGAAAATTTTGTTTTCATGTTTTTTAAGTACAGAAAAACGTTAGCAAACCTCTGAAGAATACACAGGATTTCACAGTCACTCCCCATTGTACTTCATATACTTTTTAAAACTATTGTTAAGATCTTATTCAATAGACACCATGAACCCACTTAAGCACACTGGATAATCTGCAGACCCAGGAAGGTGCAAGTTCCCACTGTCAGCCTCTCTGATTGTGGAACCTTACTCTTACATTATGTGTTACAGAAGACACCAGACTCCTTGTGTACAAACTGAGGGAGGGCATCAGGATTATAGATACATTAAAATGATGAAGTATAAATACTATGAGTCAAATAATAGAAACAGGCCAGGCACAGTGGCTCTTGTGTATAATCCCAGTACTTTGGGATTATAGACAAGGTAGAAGGATTGCTTGAGCCCAGGAGTTGGAGACCAGCCTGGGCAGCAGAGCATGAACCCATCTCTACAAAAAAATTAAAAATTAGGACTGGGTGCAGTGGCTCACGCCTGTAATTCCAGTACTTTGAGAGGCTGAGGTGGGCAGATCACTTGAGACCAGGAGTTGGAGACCAGCTTGGCCAACATGGTGAAACCTTGCCTCTACTAAAAATACAAAAAAGTTAGCTGGATATGGTGGCATGTACCTGTGATCCCAGCTACTCAGGAGGCTGAGGCATGAGAATTGCTTGAACCTGGGAAGTGGAGATTTCAGTGAGCCAAGATCACACCACTGCACTTTAGAATGGGCAACAGGGCAAGAGTCTGTCTCAAAAAAAAAAAAAAAAAAAAAAAAAAAAGATTCCTAAGGGCTTCATATTATTTTCTATAGTTTGCTTCATTGGGTTTAACTTAAATGTAACTTGTCTCTTAAAAATTACAGATCATTGAATATGAAAAAAAACAAACCCTGGGACAAAATGATACCGGCTTTAGTTGTGATGGGACGGCTAACACATTCAGGGTCATGTTTAAGGAACCCATAGAGATCCTGCCCAATGTGTGCTACACGGCATGCGCAACACTCAAAGTAAGAGTCATGCACGATGTTCCAGATGGTTCCTCTTGAATGTTGCAGAAAGCGTGTTTTAGCTGAGAGTCATGGACAGCTGAGCCATTTATAAAGAGGGGAGAAAAGAAACTGGGAGCTGAAATATTCCACTGCCTTAAGAAGAGAAGTGCTTCTTTCTGTTCTGAAAGAAATAGCTCTTCCTAAGAAGTAGCCTTTTGTTTTAGTAAGCAGTTGAATGTTTGGCAGAAAATAAGTTATTTTTGTAAAAATCTTTTCACTGTTTTCTAATATCTGGGCTCTGTGTTCAGTATTTTTATTCATTAATTAGTTTTTTGGTAAAAACTTCATTTTTCTCTAAATGACAGCATAAAATTTTATATAGGAATGATAATGAAATATAATAGAACATTAATTAAAACACCACAATACATTGAGTGCTTATTAAATGAAAATTACTAAGGAACCTTTTATTCCCATTTAGGGTCCAGATTCCCACTATGGCACAAAAGGATTGAAGAAAGTAGTGCATGAGACACCTGCTGCTAGCAAGACTGTTTTTTTCTTTTTTAGTTCTCCTGGCAATAATAATGGCACTTCAATAGAAGATGGACAAATTCCAGAAATAATATTTTATACATAATTTAGCATTGTAATACATCTTGGCTAAATAGTACCCTACAATCTAGTGTCAAAAACATAAGTAACTGGCCACAAAAAAGTAGTTTGAGTGTTGTGAATATTTATAATTGTAAGATAAGAAACAGTTTCTTAGAGGAGATAGAAAAATGTTTAAATATTTGCATGATTTAAAAACAGGTTTTCCATTTTCTTATAACCTCATGGGAAAAGAACTGGGTTTAATGGTTTAAAAAAAAAGCACAGCTATTTCAGTTTCATCTTGTATAATTTCATAGGTTGGCTGACTTAGGGTCTTTCAGTAGTTTTGGAATTGAAAGATTCTTGTTATATATAGCTAGTTTGGGTTCATTTTTGTTGTAACTATTTTGAAGGTTAGGTGAGATGGGCAAATAGGCTTACCTATTTTGAAGGTTGAATGAAAAGAGATGAGTCAGTATTTCTGCAGAATTCCTATTAAATAACTAATTTCAGAAAAGTAAGAAGCTGACTTTATATTTGGGGGTTTAAAATATCTGGTTGTTAGCATTTGGAATAGTGCTAAAAGAGGCCTAATAAAATGCCCAAGAAAATTTTCAGTGCACTTACAGAAAAGAATATTTTGTAGTAGTATAGTAATGTGTTATGTAGTACAGTTTTAAAGCTATAAATGGAATTTGTGTAAATTCACAATAATGTGATGTAAACAGGATCTAAGACTGGATTCTGTCACTAAACTGCACCACTATACCTGTCTTGCTATGTGGAAGATGCTGTTGATATTCCCAAGATTGAGATGATGATGATGACGACTGGGTGAACAGACATCACGTCAACATTGTGATAATCCTGTACAGCAAGAAACCAAATAAAATACTAACATTTCTAACAACTGCTCTGACATTGTAAAGAGATCCAGCAGAATCACTCCTACTGAAAAATACGCTTTCTGCCACCTACACATTATTCTATCTGGGAGGTAAAATTTGCTTCATGGTCATGACCCCATTAGTCACTATTACAGCTGTGTTGGGGATAGGAAGTATGTCTGGCAGATTGACATTTATACACTTTTTTATAAAGCAGATTTTTAAATATAAGTAACATTTTTTTTCCCCTTGAAAGTGATTCTCTTACGAACAATGTAAGTGTAATTAAGGTATATCAAATTGTTGTGGAAGGTGATTAAAAATCAAAATTCTTTTTAAGTATCACTTAGATAATTTTTTCTAAATAATTAGGATATTAAAAATTTTCAGGCCAGGCGCGGTGGCTCAAGCCTGTAATCCCAGCACTTTGGGAGGCCGAGGTGGGTAGATCACGAGGTCAAGGGATCGAGACCATCCTGGTCAACATGGTGAAACCCCGTCTCTACTAAAAATACAAAAAATTAGCTGGGCATGGTGGTGCGTGCCTGTAATCCCAGCTACTCAGGAGGCTGAGGCAGGAGAATTGCCTGAACCCAGGAGGCGGAGGTTGTGGTGAGCCGAGATTGCGCCATTGCACTCCAGCCTGGGTAACATGAGTGAAACTCCGTCTCAAAAAACAAAACAAAACAACAACAAAAAATTTTCATCTAATATTTCACTTTATATTGTCAAGAAGGTAGTGAGGTATATTGGTGGCTGAGGTCTCTTGAAATTGCTAAAGGGAAATTTTGCTATGGTCATGCTTTTATGGCTATAAACCTCAGTTAAATGGAATATCTATGGGATATGTGGTTCTGGTTAACTAAAAATTAACCAGTAAACATTGTAGTAACATTACAGAAAATACTTCTGCCTTAAAAAGTATGATATGCCAGAGATGAGTTAGTGTTTCTTGATGTTGGATGCCTTTCAAATGCCTCATCTGTTGTACTGAACAATTGAAACTGCATGTAGCCATAGAAGGGACAAGAAACAGAACTGTTTACTAACTGGGACATCCCCTGGAATTTTTAAAAAATAAATATATATGTATTACCCTTTTTTTGTCATTTGTCTTTTTCTTCTAAAAGTGAATATAAACACCATTTTGGTTTTTTTTGTTTTTGTTTTCCGAGACGGAGTCTCACTCTGTTGCCCAGGCTGGAGGACAGTGGTACCATCTCAGCTGACTGCATCCTCCATCTCCTGAGTTCAGGCAGTTCTGCCTCAGCTTCTGGAGTACCTGGGATTATAGGCGCTTACCACCACATCCAGCTAAATTTTGTATTTTTAGTAGAGACAGGGTTTCACCATGTTGGCCAGACTGGTCTCAAACTCCTGACCTCAGGCGATCCACCTGCCTCAGCGTCTCCAGAGTGCTGGGATTACAGGCGTGAGCCACAGTGCCCGACTGTAAACACCATTTTGGAACAAAGGTTCTAGTTACTTGAGGTTTAACTTTATGGGAGTAATGCAATTCAAAATAAAAATGCCTCACTGCCGACTTAAAGCAGTTCATAGGAACTGCAGTGATAACCACTGCTGCCATTTGTTTCTTGATCACTTCTTTTTGTGGTCTCAGGTTTTTTCCCCCCTGTTCTAATCTCAGGAGGTGGAGAATGAAGAATGTGGGAGAATCCAAGAAATAATCTTACTGTTAGAGTGTGACTGTCATCTCACAGCTGTTTATTAGTAGTAACTACCCAAGTGACTATTTTGTACCAGGCTCTTTACTACATTTTTTTGTTTTTTTTGAGACAGTGTCTTGCTCTGTTGCCAGGCTAGAGTGCAGTGGCATGATCTCTGCTGACTGCAGTCTCCACCTCCCAGGTTGAAGCGATTCTCCTGTCTCAGCCTCATGAGTAGCTCTGTCTACAGGTGTGCACTACCACACCCAGCTATTTTATTTTATTTTTTGTATTTTAGTAGAGACGGGGTTTCACTGTGTTGGCCAGGATGGTCTCAATCTCCTGACCTCGTGATCTGCCCATCTAGGCCTTCCGAAGTGTTGGGATTACAGGCGTGAGCCACCACGCCCAGCCTACCTTACGACATTCTTACTAGTTTCTCACAGCATTGGTATGAGGTAAGTACCATTACAATACCCATTTCATGGGCAAAGAAAAAGTCAGCTAGGCTGGGCACGGTGGCTCACACCTGTAATTCCAGCACTTTGAGAGGCTGAGACAGAAGGATCACTTGAGGCCAGGAGTTCAAGACCAGCCTGGGCAACATAGTGAGACCCTGTCTCTGAAAAACAAGAAAATTAGCTAGGTTGTGGTGGCACGTGCCTATAGTTGTAGCTGCTTGGGAGGTTGAGGGGAGGATTGCTTGAGCCCAGGGGTCCAAGATTACAGTGAGTTTTGATAGCACCACTGCACTCCAGCCTGGGCGATAAAGCAAAACCCTGTCTTGGGGAGGGGAAAAAAAAGTTCAGTAAGTGGTGGGAAGTGGAATTTAAGCCCGTTTACATCTCCCACACTACAGAGTTGAGAAAATACTTTGCTGGGTCCAAAAATAGTATTTATGTCACCATTCTCAAAACTCTGCAGTAAGACCCAAAAATATGTTTGACTGATCTGTATTTACTGTAGAATATACTTTATATTTTAAGAAATCCAGTATCTGCCCAACAAATTGAGATTACTTGCATTATCAGAGTGTTTTTAAAATTATTTTTAACCTGGGAATAGATAAGCTTGTAAGATATTAGAGAAAGCAAGGTCTTCAATGTGTTATGTTACATGTAATGTGTTTAAAATAATGTCCCACTTTTTAGTACTTCTTCAAACCACTTTCTACTTCCTTCTTCTAGTCATCCAGATTCAAGACCTGGAATTGTCCCCAAATTAGAAAAAACACATCCTTCACAAGAAGGGTGGTACCATCACAGTCCCAGCCCCAACAGCCAGCCAGAGCTACACCATGTATTTATTCACATACACCTAGTTTGTATGCTTTTAAAAATCCCTTTTCCTGTTTCTCCATTGCAGGTTTTTAAATGGAACTCTATTTAAAACTGAAGATAAAATGAGGCCTGTAGTTATTTATACAGCTGCTGAGGAAGCTGAGGCAGGAGCATTGCTTGAATCCAAGAGCTTGAGACCAGCCTGAGCAACATAGTGAGATCCTGTCTCAAAGAAAATAATATGCGAACCACCACAAACATTTACAAGGGGTTTCCTGCCATTTGAATCTTAGCCTCTGTGTTTTCCCTCACTGTTAGGCAGTATGTCTTCGCACTCTGCCTCTCTCTTCCAGAGACAGGGATGTGGGCAGGAGAAACAGGTGCACAGTTTGGTGGCACATGGGGCAGACAGCTTTTCTCCTCCCCATTGGCGCAATGAAGTCCTCATACCCCCTACTTCCGAGTCACATGTGGGAAAGGCCATGTGGTTCGCTGCAGGGCACCTCTCCACTCTCCTCACCCATCTAGCCACTGGCCAGATGCCATCATAACACCTTTACAAATGTCCCTTTTATTTCCATGACAACTGCCAAACCTCTGAGGCTGATGTGACTTTACAGCAGATTCTACAAATGACTTCTATAGAATGCTGGTTCAGCTTTTGTGCCTTAATTCTTCACTGATTTCAAAGAAGGGAAATATGGTTTTGGTTTAACACCTAGCTCGCTTGCTTTTGCTCAAGCCTTTATACTGTGTGGCCTCAGTGGCCATGTGGACAACCCAGCTACACTTAGGGTTCCAGTTTCTTCTTTACCTCCAGCAACCTTCACTATTCCTTCTCATGGCCACACTGTATAGCCTATCATGATGTGGAATTGCTGTACATCTGAAGTAGTAAATTCAGACATCCCACTCTCTGGCCACAACCTTTATTATTTGTTCAAGCTGTCACTCACATTCCAGTTACTCTTGACCTCTGTTCTTTTCTTCCTTCTCTACCCACTTAGGCTCTATCTTTGATCTCCCTCAACCCCTCTCCATCTTTTGTCTTTATTCACTTTAACCATTTCATCAATGACCTTCAACCCACTTGTATATACCTGAATGAATCTGGTTCTGACTGCTTTGGTAGTAGCACTGGGGCCAAAAAAGAAATTTAAATTTAAAAAACAAAAAACAGCCAGGCGCGGTGGCTCAAGCCTGTAATCCCAGCACTTTGGGAGGCCGAGG